CAACATCTTGTGGATCATGCAGAAAATTTATGTAAACGAGAGTTCCAAAAATTCATGGCAGATGGTTGTGCCAAGTTTACTTTTTAGGGATGATTTAGGAAAACAAAAACCCAGACTGTATGGGAAATTTGGTTTTCAAACTATATACCCCAAGTAGCTATTGGCTGGATATCACCCTCCAGTTCCTCAAACAAAGAATCACCAGGTAACATTCATGTGTTTCCCCACGATAGCCTTCTTTTGAAACTGCAGGGGAACAGGGCAACACAAAAACCCAGAGGCCTCTATCAGGGAATTATGGTTAAAGTTTAATTTACCCATTAGATGCAGCCAATTGGAACCAATCTAAAGTCAAATTAATAATATTGCCTAGTGGCTAAAAGTTTTCCTTACAGAAAGAAACAATTTTATATCACTTTACAGGCTAGCACGTTTGTTATAGCACAATTGTTCATGGAGTAAGTCCACATTAACAGTTGCATTAATTACGTAGCAGCTTCCCATTGTCTACTAAAAACCAACAACTAAAGTCACCCAACTGAATCCATGGCATTGTTGCTAAACTGATTACATTATGGAGAACAAATGTTCTGTCTGGATAAGCCCTCAGCAATTGCTTTTTGCTGGCCTCTTTCATCCTTATTTGTTGAGAATCCAAGTAGTCTGCAGGAGCCACAGCAAAAGCAGTTATCATCAACATAAAGTGTAATAAAAACAAAAGACAAATGGATCAAGAATAATTGCCAGCAGCTTCTGAATGACTTGCAATTACTCTTGGGCCATTTGTTTCTAGCCTAAGTTCAGACTGGCAGAGCTAACGTTTCTGGTCATTAGAACACCACTTTCTGAGTCATAGGGTTGACTTGAGAATGAGAAGAGGAGATACGGAACACACAGTTCTCTCTTTCAAATCTCGTTCTCTGGTAAAATTAAACAATTGTCTGCCCATTCTGTAAAACAACAACAAAGAAAACTGGAGTCTGTGGGCATATCTTACAATTCTGCCAACCCTGCCACTAGAAATTCCTTGCTAATAGATGTAAGGAGATGTTAACTGTAACCAATGGCCTGAGATTCCCAGCATATTTATAGCAGTCTTGGTGCCAGAACACCCTTTGTTTGTTTGCTTTCACTGTTGCTAAAGAGTCTTGTGGCACCTTATGGACTCACATGTTCATTATGGCTCTTTTGTTTACTTTAATTTTGGTGGACCACAAGAAGCTGCCAATTAGTGTAGCTGTTAATATGGACTCCCATTAACAATTACAGTATGCTGTAATAAACATAGCTTGTCAAGTGATATAAAACTGTTATTGTCTGTAAAGACTATAAAACACAAATCAATACCTCTATGTGATTCTTTATAAATAACAATTGTGTGCCATCAAGTCAGTTCTGACTTATGGTGACCCCTTTCCTTTCTTTAAAATATGTGCGTGTGTATATGTAATGTGCTGTGAAGTCAGAACTGACTCATAGCTATCCTAATAGGGCTCTCAAGGTAAGTGAGATATTTCAGGAGTGGTTTTACCTCAGTGAATTCCTATGGTAAAGTGGGGAGTCAAACCCTGTTCTCCAGAGTCCTAGTCCGTCATTTTATCCCATACACCAATATTTTTACCCTACCTTAAAAAGAACCCAAGGTCATTTACATCTAACATCCTATTACTTATCCGAAGAGTGAAGTATAAATTTGGTACGTGCCATCAAGTTGGAACTGACTTATAGTGACCCAAATAGGGGTTTCAAGGTTAGATATTTAAGAAATGGCTTTATAAGTTCCACAACCCCAGCATGTGAGGAAGTGGGCTTCTCCATGAAAGCTCTCATTCAAATATAGCAGTTAGTCATCAAGGTGCCACAATGTTTTTGTATTATTTTTTATTTTTATTTTGTTATTACCTGATGTGCTAGTGCAGACTAACATGGCTACCTCTTCTAAAAAAAACCAGTGAATTTCCCTGGATGTGTGAGGATTCAAACCCTGGCCTCCTGAGTCCTAGTCCATAACTCTATGTACTGCACCACACTGTGTATCCAGAGGACAGATTACTTGACTCTATTTTCCCCTCACATTTTGTTTAACAATTCCATGGGGCTGATAGAACATGACTGGCCCATGCCATACAGTTAGCTCAATATGTAAGAATTTGGAGTCAGATCTCCTCAGTCATTGTCCAACACATTGCTCTCCCTACCAGAGACGTTGGCAAATGTAGTCCTCCAGAGATTCTTTCTGAGCTGCAGTCCCCTTGATCTATCATCCTTGCTGATAGGCTAGGCATGATGGGGCATGTAAGCCAAATAAAACCCATGTTTTGGCAGGCCACATTCCTATTCTGTCACAATGGTACATTGTACTCCTCACCGTATGTGCCACAGAAAATCTGAATGCAAGACAAACCCTGAAAGGTCAAAAAGAACAAGGAAGCATGAGAAGACGTTATTGATGCCCGTTATTACTGTGGAGGTCTGGTGTAGGGGAAAGGTGTATATATGCAGGATGCCCATTCTGCCTTCCCACGCAAGATTGCAGGCATTCTTTCAGTTTTCCCTTCCCCTTCAAGATCAACACTCCTTTGCTAAGTGGCAGCAGTTCTTTTCCAGACAGCACACGCACCACTTTTATTGTGATGCAAACACAACCGCACTGAAAAGGAGGCCAAAAGTTTAGAAAAGGAAGTCCATAAAGGAGCCTCCAAGCTAGCCTCTGCATTAGAATCACAAGAGCAGCTGCTGCGGCTTCATGCCTTTGCTTTTTATTTGGCAAGGAGCCATTTCCAATTGGCTTAAATACTGAGACTGCTCTTCAGCAGCCTCTGGTGGTTATCTAGGAATCGAGGTGCTTATATAAAAAGCCATCATCAGTTTTCTTGCAGGCTTTGGTTCTGAATGAGAGCTCAGCTTACATCTGGCAAGGAAAGAATTATGGACACCCCCCCCCCAGCGTGTGAGACTTGTCCCAGCAACCAAAGATCAACAACTGCCCATGGTCCTAGTAAATATTGCTTATGTTTCCATCAACAACCATGCAACAGAGCAAAATATTTCCTACAAGCTTGCTACAAAAAAAAATATATGATTTATTATTTATGAGGCATGAAACATCCCCCAGAATGGTTTATCTGGCATGGAACAAATTTGTCCTAAAATAAGCTTATCACTGGAGGGGAGGGCATTTTTTTTTTGTTCTGTTGGGAACAGAGATAAATTGAAGAGTCAAAAACAAAGACAGGCTTGGCCACCCCCTTCTTATCACCATGCACAGCAGATCGCTAGGATATCTATTTATTGCTCTTATCACAAGTTCCAAATGAATGCTCACAGAAGGCTTTTGAAAATATTTATGGACCCACAGACATATTCTTCTCAGAATCTGACCCCCCAGCATTCCTCCCTAACACCGGATCCTTGGAACAAAATATATTCTGATCAAAGTTATGTAACTATAGTTGGAATATATAATGTGCACCCTTTTTTATCAGTTTCTTTAATCAAAAACAGTGTTGATTCCATGTTTATAAAGGCTTCGCTCAGTAAAGATTGGAAAATCTACTGAAGCCTCTTTCAGCCCCTGAAAATCGCCTTTTTAGAGGTTGCATTTTTCCTTCTGGCTACCCCTCAAAGTATGTTAGGAGGATAGCTAACTGCTATGTTTTTATGTTCCTTTCTAACCGAGACACAACTGTTGCTTGATGATGTTTTGCACTTGCTCCTGCCAGGTGAATGATTCACTGAGAACACCCTAGGCCTGTTCTTACTACCACAATAGTTAAAGAACCCAATGGGCTGTGCTCAGTGAAGAGATACAGCGGAACTTGCACACTGCATTTGCAAGCTACAGGCTTCACTACAGAGCTGCCTTAAAGGGAATGGGAACTCAAGCATTAAGCATGAGCCCCACAGGCCAGGCCACAGCATTATCTAGCCATTTTCAAAAGAGGCAAGCCATGTGCTTCTGGATCACCTTCAGGCCTAAAAGCAAAAGTCCTCTCCAGATGTATCACCCCACCACCAGCAGACATTTGTGGAGGTAAAACCCAGTGATGGGCTTGAGTCATCAAAGACAGAGGAAAGATCCAGATGTTTTACTATTGCTGGGGAGGGTGCATAGAGCAAGGCAGTCCCTCTGGATCCTTCCTGGAAGCTCTTGGCTAGAGCCTCAGTCTGATTCAGATCACGGATCTCAAGTTCGTTTCCCAGAATGGTAAATGTCCCTGATGCAACAAGGCTGCCACTTGGGATTTCCAAAGAGTACTCAAGAAACTTAGAGGCAGCACAAGTTAGTTGATGCCCCACCTTTCCAGATCATGTTGAGAACGCTTTGTTTGAGCCCAAAAGTCCCAATCCAGATGCTGGCACTGCTGCTTCCAAGAACCGTCATGTAGCAGTTGCTGTCACAAATGACAACAACTCTTTAGTTGCTACTTCTGTTGCATGGAATATTTCTTTACCTGTGCTAGAGAAACCTGGCAGCAGGTGACAATGGCATGGAAGCACTCCACACAGCAGACTGCCCTACACACTACAGCTCCTTCATACAGCTGCCAGTGTGATGTAGTGACTCCATGCATCAAAACTGTGATAGTTTTGAATACAATGCTGATCCTCTGCAAGACACTGAGAGCATACAGCAAGAAAAATTAGCAAATAGGAGGTCTGGAGACTGGCAAAGATCTGCAGAGAAAATGCAGCATGAACTAAAATCTGCTGGACAGGAGCAAGAAAGACAGGATATGCAAGTAAGAGCAGAGTTACTAAATGCACATTGTTTGTATGAAATCAAACGCTTGAGGAAAGGCTACATTTCTGGAAGAGCAGCTGCAATACTTTCAGAAGTTTTCTCCCCCAAGACTTTTCAGAATGTAGTTTCAGTAAATTGCACCAATGCAAGTAGCGAACCTTCCAAGCTTTCCCCTCCCAGTGGGTTATGTGCCATACCTCCCCTTCCACCCCATCCCAAAGCAAGCCTGCAAGAAACTGAACAAGGAGGCAAAGCATACAGTCAGTTTCATGATTTTATTTTACTGCCAGGAAGGGGGAAGCTGATGATTCTGAATCTGTTAATCCAAATCTAAGATTTACAGACACACACAAAAAAAGCATCAAATCATTTTAACAAAAAATCTCCTCTAAGGGAAGGGGTTGGGAAGAGGTGTCAGGGCAGAGACATAGCTACAAAAGAGAACCGCGCACACACATACTTGGTCCCAGTTCTAGCACAATTTGGGGACTCGCAAAGCCCGCTGATGAGGGCTGTAGAGCTGAAACATTCCTGCCTGGCAAGCAGAGGGGGATCGGGGCCCCACAGGCCTCCCACTTCCAACTTGCCAGGACCATTGGGGGGGATTGTTGCTGGGGTGGCTGGGCTGTTTGGGCATCATGAAGGAAAAGAACCTAATCAAGGCAATAATAAATACTGACAGGCCAGGCACATGATTTAAAAAGGCAGAACAGATACATAAGGCATTCTCTGCTCTTGAATATTTGTCCATAGCAAGCTCTTTGTTCAGATCAGATGAGGAGCAGCTGCGCAAAGCCAATCCGTCTTCTAGCCCTGAAACCCCAAGGCTGCCCTGGGGAGTCAGTACTTTGCAGCCAGTTTAGATGTGTGATCAAACTAACATTGAGATGACAGTGGCACTAGTGTTGACTTCTATGTCCACCAACCACAGGCCTCCCTCTTCCTAGCTGGAAGCAAAGGCTTCTCTGGCCCTAGGGAGTCTGCAAGGAGAGCACTCTGGACCCTGCAGAAGGCAGGAAGAGCGTCTGGCCAGAAGATGCAAATTGGGAGGAGGGAGGGGCGGTATGTGTGGACAGGGTAGGAGCGCATATAAAAAAGTGTAACAAGGCTGGGGTTTGGTTTGGGTTTGAGTTGGGCCCTCCCTGGAGGATGTATGTTACACACATTAAGGCATCATGGTTACACAAAACCATCACAAACAGAACGCCCACCCATGTCTCCCTGGAGGAGAAAGGGTAGGCCATGAACATGATTAAGCCTTGGAAACAATGAGGGCAGCAGGCAGTTCACGAGTCCCCAGCACCTCACCCCTTGTGCCCAGAGGCAAGAGTGCCTCCAGGTCCTCTCCCACTGCAGGCAGGAAGCTTGCTTCCCCTCGGCCACCCTGGCGGAGAGGTATTCAGAGGGGTCAGGAGCAGATAGCCTTTTAAGCAAGGCCAGAGGAAGGAGAGGGAGCACTTCAGCCTCTGGGCTTGGGACAGACCGAAAAAGGGTTGGTCTGATTCCTTCAGGGACTGTCGGGAGGTGGGACACGGAGCAAAAGGAGCTTCCTGGTGAGCTTAAAAATGAGAAGGGGAAAGGAAGGGTTGTCCAATGCCAGCACTTTGGTACAGGGTGGGGTTTCTACTGTAGCCACTGTCTGAGCAACTCTTGGGATTTGGCTATGGAAGAACTAATCCTTCCATTCCTTCTTGATGTTTAGGTTCCACTCCCAGGAAAGGTGGTCCGTCTTATCGTCATCTGTAAATTTGGATCTGATATTGTAACTGCCCCGGGCCAGCATACCCTTGGGGGCTTCCTCCATGGGGGTGAGGAATTCGTACTCCTCGGCACGGGGCCCATAGCTTCCAACCATGTAGTCAGTCTTGTCAACTGGAAAGGAGGAGAAAAAAAGACAGAACATCAAGCTCCAAACAACTAGATACAAGAACTGTTGAAACAAAGAACAGCAGGAAGCTTTGGGGGGGGTAGTTGGATCAGCATAGCTGCCGTTGAAGGAGGACTGACACATTCCTTGTATCAGCAGAGCCAGAGCCAAGTTCCATTCTTACAGAAGAGATCACATTTCCAGCCACAGCGGATTCAGCTCCCCAGAAAAGTCACTCAACTACTGCCAAGTCTTCCCCCCCCCAACTCCTGTGCTTCAAGAGGTCAAAAGAGCAAAAAAGTAAAAGCAAAGCGTGCTCCTTATATACCACCCCATAGCGCTTCAAGCACTCTCTGGGCGGTTTACAAGTTAATTATGCAGGCTACACACTGCCCTCCTAGCAAGCTGGGTACTCATTTTTACCAACCTCAGAATGACAGAAAGGCTGAGTTAACCTGAAGAAGGTCCATTCCATGCTAGGTATTATTTTAAAAAGGGGACTGAAAATAAAACAGCCAACATTATAATGCCATTGTACAAAATGCTGGCAAGGTCGCACCTGGAGTACTGAGTACAGTTCTGATTGCCACTCCTCAAACAAGTCATAGTGGAACTGGGAAAGGTGCAGAAGAGAGCGACTGAAATGATGACAGGGCTGGGGCACCTCCCTCATGAGGAAAGGCTAGAGCTTTTGGGCCTCTTTAGTCTAGAGAAAAGGCACCTGAGGAGGGACATGACTGAGACATACAAAATTATGCAGGGGATGGATAAAGTCTGTGGAACTCCTTGCCACAAGAGGTGGCAATGGCATCTGCCCTAGATGCCTTTAAAAGGGGATTGGACAGATTCGCAGGTTCCAAGCCATGATGGGGATATAAAATCTCCAGGCTTCAAAGGAAGGGACCTCCAAATGCCAGATGCACGGGAAGATGTATCAGGAGAGAGGTCTCTAATTGTCTTGCGTAATCCCAGAGGCCTCTGGTGGGGGGCCAATGTGAGATACTGGAAGCTGGACTAGATAGGCCCATGGCCTGATCCAGCAGGGCTCTTCTTATGTCCCATTCTTAATACTTACTTCTTACTCCTTTCCTGAACGTGTGCTGGATGTATTTCAACCCTGAAACAATCTCCTTGTTCACCTAAATAGACAGAAGAGACATCAGCAGAGACACACTTTCCTAGTACATATTCTTCGCTCCCTTGGCCTTCACCAAAGCCAAGATCCTCCTTAGTACAGTATTCCTGAGAGTTATGTATGGATATCAAAGCTGGCTGGTGAAGGGGAAGAATTTATACACCTGAAGCGTGGTGTTAAAAGAAAGGGGAATGGATAGCCTGGCTATCATACTCTGGGCACATAATGAGCAGAAAAGATACACTGGAAAAGACTGGGAAAACTTCAAGGTAGGAGGAAAAGAAGACTGAGCATGAGATGGATTTACCCAATGAAGGAAACCATGGCCTTTAATTTACAAAACCTGAGGGCTGCTAAGAACAGGACCTTTCAGAGGTCACCAATTCACAGGATTGCTTTAAGTTGGAAGTGGCTTGATAGCAAGCAGCGGCAGCAACACCTCCTCCAGAAGACCTTACCCGAAAGGAGATTTTTATCCGGTACTCCACACCTTCTTTCAGCACAAATGACTGCTTCTTGAAACTCTCCAGGTCAGCTGGAAAGCAACGAGACAGAATAAATCATACTACTGTATGCAATCATCAGTACCTGGGAAAGGCACAGATGTAAATATTAAGCAAAGGGCAGCGAAACTACTTCTATCTTTAGTTTTAGTCTTAAGGCCTACCCTGACGATGTACTGTAGCCTTCTCTAAAGAGGATTTTGGGTCCAGAGGTATAAAAAAAAAAACCACTATTAACTCCATTCTAGGCAAGATGCTTGTGGCTGGTCAGTTTCAAACATCGTTGGAGGAAACCGATTCTCTAGACCAGTGATGGCAAACCTATGGCACGTGTGCCACAGCTGGCACGCAGGGCCCTCTCTGTGGACACATGAGCCGTAAGTCGCTGAATGGCTACCCCTGGCAGCCAAACCTGAGGAGGCCGCTGCAACAGCAGTGCTAGTGCCCCAACAGGCAGCGGGCCACAATCCGGAGCAGCTGGCGCTGGTCGTGGCGGGCCAGCCAAGCTATAGGGAGTGGCTAGGTTGGGCACGACCGGAGGCGAATCTGGGGTGGGGTCTGGAGGCACCTCAGTGCCCAGGATTCCTGCTTCTGCCACCACTTCCGTCACTGAGTTGGGCTTTGTTTGTTTGTTTTTGCGGTTTGGGCACTCGGGCTCAAAAAGGTTCGCCATCACTACTAGACCAATGGTTCTCAAACTGGGGTCCCCAAATGTTTTTGGACTGCAATTCCCAGGAGCCTTCACCACTTGCTATGCTGGCCAAGATTACTGGGAGTTGCAGTCCAAGATCATCTTGGGGACGCAAGTTTGAGAACCACTGCTCTAGACCACAGGTCCCCAAAGGGGTCACAAAGTGTTTTCTGTGGGGTCGCCATGGTCATTTTTAGTTACATTTATTTTTATACAGTATTTATTATACTAAATATGGTATATGCAATACTTTAATTATTTTAAGCCATCTCTTCCCCATGTAAACAATGCACATGCACCTGGCCATCCACCTGATCTAAAAGAAAATGTGATTCATCAGACCAGGCAACCTTCTTCCACTGCTCCATAATCCAGTTCTGATGCTCATATTCCCATTGTAGGGGCTTTCAGCAGTGGACAGGCGTAATCATGGGCACTCAGTAGCTATGCAGCCCCATACGCAGCAAACTGCAATTCATTGTGTGTTCTGACAACTTTCATCAAGTTTTTCAGCAATTTGAGTTACAGTAGCTCTTCTCTGTGATTAGACCAGATGGGCTAGCCTTTGCTCTCGACATGCATCCATGAGCCTTGGGCATCAGTGACCCTGATATTGGTTCACCAGTTGTCCTTCCTTAGACCACTTTTGGTAGGCATTAACTACTGCATACTGGGAACATCCAACAAGACTTGCCCTTTTGGAGATGTTCTACCTAGTTGTCTATCCATCACTATCTGGCCCCTGTCAAAGTCACTCAGATCGTTTTGCTTGCCAATACGCTTCCAACACATGAAATTCAAGAACTGACTGTTCAGTTGCTGCCTAATGTATGCCAGTCCTTCACATGTGTCACTGTAAGAATATAACCAATGCTATTCACTTCAACCTATCAGTGGTTTTAATGTTGTGGCTGAGCAATATTGTGAGATGGATGTTGGGAGACATTGTGTTATGCTGGTCCTGCTCCTAAGTGCAAGATCTGTTACAAGGGGACAATTTGTGTTAAGCCTTTAGAAGTAAAGTGTTGCAAAGTTCAGTTTTATTTCTCACGCGGCTAAATATCTATAAAAAGGTTCTGGGTACTGGTCATCTTAAAGCTTTGCAGCTGGGAGCCATCGGCATGCTGGCACTTGATTTCTCCCAATCAGACTCAAAAGACTAATACATTGAAACTGAATCCCAAAAGAACAGCAGTTGCATGAACTGTTTCTTCCAAGGTGTGAGAAGAAGTATGTGATCTGCTCTCAGTGGAGCTGTTTTCTCCTTCTAAAGGAGTAGGTACTTCCTGGATTTATCTTAGTCACTGAAGGCTCAAGTAGCCTCCATGGATAAGAGCTCTGGGCTAGCACTGGTTCTATTATTATAATATCAGCTACAACACTTCCTAGATAGGGATGATCCAATTATGATTCATGAATTAATAATTACCCATCTAGGCTGCCGAGGTCCCCTGAGTGTGGCTGCCCTTGAGGATAACCTGGAAACTATAGCTAGTACAGAATGCTGTGTCTAGATTGCTGTCAGTAAATATCATGTAACATGGATTTTAAAGTCACTGTACTGGATTCAATATGCTTCTGGCCTGCATTCAAGATGTTAATAATGATGCTAAAAGCCCGAGTGGCTTGGAACCCTGGTATTTGCATCTGAGGGAGCGCCTCTCCCAGTATATACTGTATGTGCCTCAGTATGAACACCTACTAAACAGACTTTGCTCAGGAGCCCACAGCTGAAAGTATTACACCATGTAGAGATACAAAACACAACCCTTATCAGCTGTGATAATCGGGTAGCTGAACACCTTTCTCTCAGTGCCCTGATTGGTGCTGCTGCCACAGGCCTCAAACCAGCACCAAAAAAACTAGCCATATACGAAAGCTTTAGGACCTCAGTGAGCACAGCACAGTTCCGATTCATCGCTGCTGATCCCAGACTGCACTAAAACCAAACACAAATTCATGCTGTGGCTCAGCCTCTCCCTGAAAAATATGGCCCCGAACAAAAAGCCAATTCCACATGACGCTGACAGAACCTTAAATCAAACCCCGGCTACAACATTGCAAGAGCACCTCTCAGAGCTCCCAGGCCTGACGTTCCCCTTCTCCTCTGCTACAACTCGGTGCAAAGCGACGGCTTTTGGAGGAATGCCTGCAAAGTCTGACTGTCCCCAATATAAGTGTTGAGTAGCAACCTAATGAAGCTGAAAGCTCAGCGGCAGAGGCACCGTAGCCTACAGTTTATTTATAGGAGTGTACAGGATACTGCCTGGTCGATGACGCCTACCTGTCAAATCCAACTCCAAGGGGCCCGGAGCAGTGGCGCAAACCAAAGTCAGTTTTGTCACCACCACGTTTGGAGTGCTGGGATCTGAAAGAGAGGAATAAGCACAAATATCAGAAACTGGAAGGGTTCCCACTCCTCTCATTTCATAGAAGGCAGACGTGAGTGTTGAAAAGAAGGGAGAAAGCTTTCTTCATTACTACAGTAAGGCCAGCAATTACTCTGTGGACATGTGATGCAGCCATCATTTTAAAGGGAAGATTTCAAAACTGAAGTGACAGGAAGCACAGAAGGGTCTCCAAACTTGGTGGTGAGGAGCTTTATGCTCTCAACTTCCACCATCCTGTGGTTCCTACGATTCATTCTCCTCATACATGACACACAGCTCTTCCTCCTCTTATTGTTTCAGGCTCTTTCAAATAGGGTACAACAATTTGGGTGGGGGAAACAACACCCACCTACCCCCCCACAAGCCTTCATCCAAAAATGTCATTATTTCCTTGGGTGGGGGTGGGGAAACAACACCCATTTACACCCCCCAAGCCTTCATCCAAAAATGTCATTATTTCTGGTTATGAATCTGTTTTTATTTTCGTAGTTAAATCCAAGGCTTAATATTCTAGATTGTCAAGGGACTGCTTAAAAAAAGAGTGCTATTTATCAGCAGCTACCCTCCCTGCAACATGACCCACTTCAAAATAGATCAGCTTGCAACATTCTCTTGATGACCCCCATTACCTAGACTGGCCTAGACTGATCGCATCCTCCCTGCCCATCAAGGTGGAAGAGGGCTGAATACCTGCTGTCAGGGAAGACTGTGCCCTTTGAAAGGGTTGGGCAGCCTTCAGTGGCTTTCCTCCCCCTGCCCGGGTCCCCCACCAGCCCTCCGAGCACTCACCCGCAGCGATAGTGACATTTCCCAGCAGGGCCTCTTTGTACTTGCGTAGGCTCTCGTCATCCTTATCCAGTTCCTGGATCTCCTGGATGCTCTTTTGGGCAGGGGGCTTGTAGTTGACAGAGTGTTCGTCCTCCTCGTTTTCAGCTGCAATCTGGGCCAGCTGTTCCGGTGTCGGTTCTTGTTCAGCCATTTCTGAAACTGTGACCTATATCTGGGGTAGATCCACATATTATTAATAACCTTATTAATATTGCTGCATTACTATAATAAGGACATTATGTCATCCCCCCTCAGAGACAGTTCAGTGAGTAGACCCATCCATATGGGGTAAAATTAATTCTTACTCAAAGGCTTTTTAAAAATTGCTTTGATGAATATCCAACTGATGTTCTCTGTATGCATAAAAGAGGTTGTTGAAGCACTTGCAGTATATTTTCTAGGCTACCATGGATAGAACTGATTGTGCATCCAGAGGAAAATCTGATTTATAACGGACAGTAAGGAAAACATATCATCACTTGTGCAACTGCACTAACACAATCGTATATCATCATCATCATAAACCTTTATTGGCATTTAAAGTACATCAGTAACAGTTGGCGCCATACTATTGCAAACTGAAGGGAAACAATCCTGAAAGTACGAACTAGAGAGGTTATACAGGAGGGGATTGGGGAAGGGGTTTAGGCTTAGAGACCGCTAGTAGGAAATCCGCTACCAAGCTGGAGATGGTCGCCGAGTAGTCGCTTAGGAGGATAGGAAGAGGGTCAGCAAATGAAACAAAAAGAGAAGACAGAAGGGGTTCAAGGATATTGTTTCGTAGGTATTGGTGAGCCGGGCAACGGAGTAATATATGATCTAGAGAGTCTGGCTCAGATGAGCAAGAGGGACAGAGTCTGTTATTGCGTGGTATGTTAGCAAATCTGCCAAAATGAGCAGCTGATGGAAAGATGTTTAACCTTGCTAACATAAATGCTCTCCTTTTACTGGGATTAATTAATTTACTGAAATAATTGGAGGGTCTACCAAGAGAGGGAGAGAGACCGAAGAAGTGAGGGGAACAAATAGGATTTAAATTGGAAAGTAATAGGTTGAATTCCTGTTGCCAGAGTTTGGATTTGATGATTTGGTGCACTCTATAAAGGTTGGTGTCTGAGAGGGATTCAGGGGAGAGGTCCAAAGATTCAAGCTTGGCATCAAGAAGTTTAAACCACTTGGATGAGAAGGAATCTTTTAATAGGTCATTGAGTATGGAGTCTGGGTGAATATTGAGGTGCAGTCTAAGCCAAAACTTGAAGGTTAGGGACCAAGCGGTGGTAGAGGGGAGACGGATGCCTAATTCAAGTATCAGTGTGGATAATCTAATTAGGTTAGGGACCCCAAGAATCCTTCTGAGGAAGGAGGCAGCTACTTTGTCAAGGTCTTGATTTGCAGCCTCAATCCAGATTGGGGCTCCATATAGCAGCTGGGAAAGGATTTTGATTTGGAATATGTGGAGAGCAGCAGGGATGTACTGGTTGCCACTGTTAAAGTGAAAGCGGGCAATTGCATTTAAATGTGGTAAGGCTGAGGAAATGGCAGATTTGCGGTGGTGGATCCAGCTATGTCGAAAGTGGAAAGTGATCCCCAAGTATTTAAAGGTCTGGACTTGCTGGAAT